TAGACACCCAAAGGAAAAATATTCTCATAACTAAAATTCATAATTTTTTCAGAAAAAAAAACATTAAAAAGGGGGATCCTAAGGCCAAATTTTCTTGAAACCAATATCAAAAGGAATTCATGGTTTTCTTGAAACCAATTAAGGAATTCATGGCTCAGAATATTTAAAATTTTTTTTAAAGCATAATTGTTTACAAGATAGAATTAGAAAAATTTTTTAATGTTTTCTTTCATGTTTTGAACATTTTGCAGAGCTATAGCATTTATAGTTCATAAAAAGTACTAGGTGAAAATTTTCCATCTTCCTCTTTGCATAAATTCTACTTCAGGAAAATCAGCTTATATGAACTTGAATATGACTTCAGCTAGAAAAAAAAGTAATTTTAAAAATTAGTGGTGGCACATACCTATAAACCCAGTGGCTCAGCAAGCTCAAAGCCAGCCTCTGCAACTTAGCAAGGCCCTGTCTTTAAATAAAATACAAAAAGGGGCTGGGGATGTGGCTCAATGGTTAAGGGACCCTTGGCTCAATCCTTGGTACCAAAATATGTACATACACACACATATTCTTTGGATCTAAGGAAAGGTAGAACTGTCATAGGAACTATGAGAAGGAATGTCACATGGAATGAAGATTATGGGCAAGCAAAGGGACCATCTGAGTCCCAGCTTGCCATCAACAATGACAGAGTAAATGAAGATCAAAAGACATACACAATGGGCCACAGATGGTGCATGGTCATCAATATTATTACTTGTATTATTATTATATTAACATCTACTGTTAGGAATGATAGAAATTGCAACAAAGCTAATTCTTAATACATGAAGAGTGTGTGCATATGTTCAGCTTTTAATCATATATCTGTGAATTCCTAAAATTATTTTTTTAAAAAAAGTGTGACCAAAAAAGTCTTCTCCCAAGAAGTTTACCATCTTGGAGAAACTGTAGATACACAATAAGCCAAAGATAAGCCAGTATCAATGGGCAAAAAGCAAACAAAAACTGCAAGTATTTTAAGGAATTAATTCATGGCTCAGAATATTTAAATTTTTTTTTCAAAAGCATAATTGCTTACAAGATAGAATTAGAACAATTTTTTAAATCATGTCTTTGAGTCTAATAGATTTACAGTTTACAAAAGTAACCCAACAAATGCCCATGCAGACAGATGGAAAGCATTCATACTTGTGTGGAACATGTTATATGTCTAGTAAAGATTTCCTGAGTGTGCCTGTTTTTAGAAAGCAACAGTTATCCTCAGAACAAACAGCATTCCTCAATTCACTCTGATCTGATGTTCAGTCCCATTATTTCACCAAGACAGCTTTCACTGAGGTAGATGAGACCTCCATATCACTGAATCCAGGAGACCAAAGAACCAAGCCAGAGAGCTACATAGTCAAGAGTAATCTTTAAAGCCCACACTGCTGACACTGCTGAATACAGAAATGTAAGTAAACATTTGTTCTTTGTTACAATAACAGTTACATAATTCATTTAAAGTAGATAAATTGATTCTGATGGTATTTCAGGACTCTCATGAATTAATGATACTACCTACCAAAATTGGCACCATGTCATGTGACAAATGACAAAGATTCTTTGGTTGGCCAAACTTCAGTCAAGTTTCTGAAACTTCTTGGAGACCCATCTGTGCACTTCCTTGTAAAATCCAGTTTTAGCAAAAAGAACCCTGCTAAATCAGTCTCATCATATGTGATCATCCTCAGTATCTGATCAGGTTCTTAATCCTATGCCATTCCCCAAGTTGTATCTGATCACCTGGTATGTTTTTTGCAAAAATTCTGATAGTCAGTTTCATAAAAATCTTCCTTATTTCTGATGCTTCCTCTAAGTAATTTTCCTTCCAATGGTTCCACACTGCTCTTTGGCCATAAATTTTTCACTTGCCCATGTTATATTCAGAGTCAAGCCCAATCTCTTTCCTCCACTGATGGACCACAAACAATGACCTCTCCATTTATTGCAATGGTCTTGATGAAAGTCTTCCTTACCATTCGTTAGCAAGCATCACTGAATAATTCTTTTTTTAACACATGTGGAACTAAGTCTTATATGTATCTCATAATTTATGCAGAGAATGCTAAAAATAAAACTATTACCATTTGCTTCTCTTATAACCTATGGACCCCAAATTGTTTATTTCTTGGAAATTTTCAGTCTTTTACATTCTTATTTCAAAAATAATTTTAGTAGCCTACTTCAGATGCTTGTTAGGAAAAGTGTAATTTCAGACTATTCTGCATTTCAGTGCTTTGAATTATATAATATATTCTTAGAAAGATGTTGAGGAAGGCATAATTTCAATACAAAATTCAGAATTTATATTGGGCATTTCAGACTCCTATGTCTTTTTTGTGGTTCCCAAAAGGAAGTGCCTGTCCATCTGCCATGGTCATAAGCCTGCCTATCTACCCAAAACCTCAAGATATCACATAAAGAAATTTGTATTGTAGTTAAAAGAAATACAAAGAAAAAAATCATTTAAAAAATATTTTCTTATATAGATGAAGATATTTGCAATCCCAAAATTTTATGAAAAAAAGTTTACATTTTATCCTTTGTACTAATAAAATACCTGGAAATATATAGAAAAAAATAAATTTGTATTTTAAATAAGATAGAACTGTGAGGAATCAAATATGAGGAAGAAGTCATATCAGCTCTCAATGGCCTTAAAATCATGCTTTTGGGGACTTGCTTGTACACAGTAACAAAATAATCAATCTGCTAATATAAATTCATGTATTTTAATTTCAATCATTGAATTACTGATAATTCTATGTAATTATACATGTTGCCAATTGATAATGATGGTTACCTAAATTGAATAATAGCAAATGATGTCATAGGTCTTATCAAATGATCTAGGCATTTAGAAAACCATCCTAAAATTTGATTGATTTTTCTTACTCAAAAACCTTCTGCCTATGTAAAAATCCACTTGAAACTATTTACCAGGATTCCCTAAAACATAAATTCTAAATTGAACTAATAGTATATGTACAAATAAGGATTACTGTGATCTCTTAATGATGCTATACATCTGTTTTTAAGATGTTACACTCTGGCATGATTGTGACTATAATAAGATAGCTTCAGCTTATTCTCCTTGAAAATTCGCCTAAGCATGTGCATTTCCAATAACCACTGTGGAATAATGGATATTATAGCTTTAACAAGCACTTATTTTGCAGCATTGGCAATCTATCAACTTTTATGACATTAGTATGTTCAACTTATCTATTTTGAGAAATGTAACCTTGTTATTTTTATAAATACTAACAGCGCTGATGTATATGTGACTTTCCTATTAAAGTAAGGGAAGCGTCCTCTGAGCAATTGAACTTAACTAGCCTTCATTTCTGTGATTTGTAAGTATTCTATTGATTTAGACGTGCAGTTAAATCTACACTTAATGACACTTACTGCAACATCTTACACCCAGTTTTCTCTCACATTCTTTAAAGCAATAGTTCCCTGGACCAGTAGCATCAGAATATCTGAGAACTTGTGAAAAATTAAGATTCTCAGGTACTATCACAGAATGGAGTCACAAACTCTGAGGTAGGACCTAGAAATGTGTTTCAACAAGCCCAGCAGGTGATTGTGATGCAAGGATATTGTTGGAAAACCTCTGCTCTAACACAAAAAGATGCTCCCTTGCTATAAGATAGTCTTTATTTCTACTTTGGAGCAGTGAATTTTGTACAGTTTTTGTCTCCAAACTTAAGATGCTATTATACGTTATTGGACATAGTATTCATTATAGATGGTACCAAGTTTTGAAATTTTATAAAATAAAGACTTCAGGCTAAGGCATATTTTTAATTCATATGAAAATATTGATGTGTATTTAAAAGTTGTAAGAAAAAAGAATTGTCACCACTTTAAACACTAATGAACAGTGTCCTACCTGTCACAATTTTAATGGATTTTTTTTTTTTTCTGTAACCAAACTAAAAGAAAACATGGCTGGTTCTAACCTTTGCCTTTAGTATTTCCTGGATCTCTAGAACTTGTGTAGTCTATACAACCAGGACCATGTGTGTGTGATGAATAAATTAAAAAAGAGGAAATAAATGTTTCTACACAAAGGCAAGATGGCGATGTTACCTCAAAGAATGGATAAAAAGAAACTGGCTTATTCTGTCAATATTGCCCATGATGTGGCCTGTGTACTCAGAAAATCTACTGAGAAACCTAAAAAAAAAATAAGAGAAATGTTTTTGTGCTTTTTTTTTTTTTTTTGACAGTAAAGCAGGGTGGTGCAGTTCACTAGCCTCAAAGCCTTGTGTATGCTGAAGGAATGCATTTCACTAGTAATATATGCAAATCAAATCCTGTATATATGCATTATAGATACCAAGAGTAAAACTTTGGGTAAAACATTTTTCTCTCTTTACCAGGAAAAAAAATAGGAGTCAACTTAATAGTATAATTTTGATTAAATAAGTATTGTTTAAATGTTTTTTTAAGTTCATTAAGATCTTGCATCAGAAGGCTATGGGAGTGAATTTTGCCTATTTCTCTTCATGTTTTAGTAAAACTCACATTTGAAGTTTGAGATAACCAAAATAGTGTGCTTCCCACTTAACAGCAGACTTCCCCAGTAGAATGTCAATCTTTTGAGAATTTTTTAAATTTAAGGAGAAAGAATACTTTCATAGAGCCATACAGAACTGGCATAAGTAATTCATATTCATGGATATCACTGTCATTCTTTAAAAAATCACTATTCTTTTATAAAATACTTAAAAATAATGATAGACTTACATTTGTCAAGTGTTCAGTTACATCAAAAGGGAGATTACAATATGTCAAGAAGTAAAAAAACTTAATTGCATGAGTTAATAAAATAATTTGCTTAAATAAATGACAGGATTTATAATAAATCCCTGCACAGCAGCTAATAAACACAGCTAATAAACCATTCCAATTTAAATTTATCTCCATTAGAGAAAAATCTGTAATACCTGAGACTGTGCATTAATATTGGCTCCTTCCTTAACAAGAACTTTGACAACTTCTGCTTGTCCAGCCAAAGATGCAATGTGAAGAGCAGTATTTCCTTTCTGTTTTGGAGAAATAAAGTAGAAAATGTTAGAAGTTCTCCAATTTTGTAAAAATCAAAATGTACAGGCATTTTCAAATGAGTACAATTTATCATTTTATAACAATAGTAGTCTTCCCACCTACTTGTATTTTTCTACAATTGAAAATTGACGATTTCCTCTAATATCTCTCTTTTCTGTTTTTCATAATATTTCTCTAGTGTGAAGACATAGGAAGACTGTTCTCAGTGAATAAAAAAAAATTAGGATGTGGGTGCATGAATGTGTGTGACAATATATATTATCATGACACTCATGGGAGTTAATCAACAACTTAAGAATGCAACTACAAGGAAGTATTAACTTTAAAAAAAGTTTACTAAAACATTGAGTTTATTTCACCTTGCAATGAAACCTAGGGATTCTCAGTGGTAGTTGTGTTTCTAGATACAAAAGCATGTGGACATTACTCAATATTTTGAGAATAAAATATTTTGAGAATAAAAAATAAATTTTACATGAATCATAACATTGCCAATGAATTGTACTATTTTTAATACCTTTTTAGTTGTTGATAGACCTTTATTTATTTATATGTGGTGCTGAGAATCGAACCCAGTGCCTTATATGTGCCAGGCAAGTGCACTACTGCTGAGCCACAGCCCAAGCCCTGAATTCTACTATTTGATACATAAAAATTTATCACCCACAAAACCAATTGTCATTGAAAAATAATTTAAACCTTCTGTGAAAATATAGGTAAAGAGATTAAAAAATACTTGTGATGTAATTAAAATAAGTAACAAAAACTGGCAAAAAAACCCCAGATATCTATAGATTCTAAGACAAAGTTCAGACAATAGTTCAATTTCTGCTACCAAGCTCCTTGTGAGGCCACTAACCCTTTAAAATCTCAATAGAGTCTAAAAGAAAGGAAAAATGAAAATAATAACACTTCAACAACCAAAAAGTTGTTGGTTTAATGAATACACTATATTAATATGGGCAATTTTGGAGGCAAATAATTTTATTTACCCTCAAATATATATTATTTAAGTAATTGTTTCACGCTTATTTGATGTGCTTAAGAGAAAGATTTATATGTTCAAAGTAGGTAATTTACTACATAAAGTGAACTTATGTTTTAACTTCTTTTGAATTGCTTGATATTGTTTTTAAATTTTCACAGGAATTGTTCTTTACTATACTATAAGTCGGACTAATGTACATTTTGGTAGTTATGCATGAAGCATTGGAAATGTAGGTTAACTGACCATATTTCTAATTTATTCCTGAACTCTTTGTCCAGTAAGCCCGGGCCTACACCTGAGTGTGTAACTTGTCTCTCCCCCTCTACCACAGAGTATTGTCACATTCTAGTTCTCTCAACAGGGTTAGCTATAGCTGGTTACTGATTTTAGTTCTCCAAATAAAAAGTTTACCTTTAACAGACAAATATCTGTCACCATTGATGATATTTTTTAACATCTATTATTTATAATACACATGTCAACAGGTTCAAATGTATTTTAACAAAAACAGCATCCACAAGGGATCATAGCTTCTAGTAATGCCAAGCATCTTGTGTATTTCTTTAAAAGTGAGTTCCAGCTCGGCATGGTGGGGCACAACTGTAATCCAAGCAGCTAAGGAGGCTGAGGCAGGAGAATCAGAAGTTCAAAGCCAGCCTCCTCAGCAATTTAGTGAGGGCTTAAGCAATTCAGCAAGACCCTGTTTCTAAATATGAAAAAGGGCTGGGAATATGGCTCATTGGTTAAGTGCCCTGGATTCAATCCTCAGTACCCCCCTCAAAAAAAAAAAAAGTGAGTTCCAAGTTCTTTATAAACACACATTTATAGTGAAAAAAAAATCTAATCTTACCCTAGTAATTCAATCCAAAATCCAAAAGCTCTTTTCCATTAAAGGATTCTGTATATTCCTATACCATGTTGAATGAATATATTACAAGATATGTCAATTTAATTAAAGCATGAACATTACTTGTTCATTTCCACTGACAAGTTTGCCACATCAATTTACTTTTAAAAAATGAATTAATCTTAGGGAAAAATGGTATTATTCACAGATAAATATATTGATTTAGTCCTCTTTGTGAATCAAAACAGGAAAGACAATTTATTCAATGTTAGATTTAGAAATTTCTTCAGTCTCATGTCTGATAAATCCTTAAACAAAAGATTCAAACTAAAAAGTTTAAATGAGAGGTCTTCCACTGTCGTTGTGTAGTTATGAATTTCAATGCTCCAGGGAACCTCTGAAATGCACACTGGGAAAAGAAGCTCCAAAGTAAGTCCTCTTTTCTAAGAAACACAAGTTCTATCAGCATGAACATTACCTTAGTGGCAGAATCCACCGAGGACCCTCGTCCCAGCAGCTCCTGGACCAGCCCCACGTGGCCCTCCTTGGCAGCCAGATGGAGAGCGTTGAGTCCATTCTGAGAGAAGAACAAGCAAAACCTCAGAAGAGGAGTCATGATGAGGGACACAGTGTGCCCATGGAATTCAAACACAGAACCCAGAGAATACACAGACTCTGGTGCGTCTGTCTGCCTGCCTGTCTGTCTGTCTCTCTCCTCTTTGTAGTCTCTTTAATCTATTCAGTTCAGAGACTGCCTTCTAGTGTTTCTGATTCCAATAAACAAAAAGGTAAATATTCATCAGAAACATGAATTTGGCAACTTCATTTCAACAAAACATCTTTTTTTTTTCCTTTAGTTAAGGAAATTAAATTAAATTTAAAAAGTAGAGACTTTTCTTTTTTATTTTATTTTTACTTAAAACTGGCTCAGAATAATGCTCTCATCAACCAGCTATAATCTAAGTGAGGGCAAGTGTATATCATCCTTGCCAGAGGAATCTCTACTTTTGTCTAATGAGAAAATAAAAAGAATAATTCTATATCACTTATTTTGTTCGGCAAAAAATAAAATTTTGCCAAGTTCCTAGAACCAATAGAGTTTTAAATTAATCTTACTTTTTAACAAGTAGGAGAAAAATGTTCTTTTTATAAACTTTTTTAAAAGTTCTTTTTATAAAACCACAGGACAATTTATTTTATTGGTGAATTATAATTACACATAATAGCAGGCTTCATTGTGATATATCTGTACCTGCACATAGCATAATTTGGTCTTCTGCATATCTCTGTACCTCCCCATTCCCTCCCCCCAAATCTCTACTCTCTACCCTGCTGGTCTCCCTTCTATTTTCATAAAATCCTTTCTCCTCCCACCGCCTCTTCTTTTCTCCCTAGCTTCTATAGGACAATTTTTAAAGCAATACAACTCTTCAATGATAACACTTTACTTAAAATACATTTTGCTCTATGGCATTAAACAGTCTTTCTTTAAGCAAAAATTTAAATTTTATCTTATATTATCTGTTAAAACTATAACATCTGGTTCCTATCTATATAAATCTGTAAAAAGTTATTTACCACAGCATTGAAAAAACTCATTTAGCATATTATTACTTAGCATAATCTACAGTCAATGCAATCTTTACCAAAGTATCAATGATATTCTCCAAAGAAATACAAAAATCACTCCTAAAATTCATGATACCACAAAAGACCTCCCAAAACCAAACAATGTTAAACAAACAAACAAATAAAAACCGAAAGGCATCATACTATTTGACTTCAGAATATATTACAAAGTTATAGTACCCAAAACAGCATGCCCCTGGCATAAAAACAAACATATACACTTATAGAACAGAGAGCCCCAAAAGAAATCAACACGCTTTGGCCAACTGTTTTTCAACAAAGGTGTCAAGAACACACATTTGGAAAAGGGTGCCTTTTTCAAGAACTGGGGCCAGAAAAACTTGATATCAATGTGCAGAACAATGAAGCTAGACCTCTGTCTCTCACTAATTCCAAAAATCAACACAAAATAGATTTAAAACTTAAATATAAAACCACAAACTATAAAGCTACTAGAAGAAAATACAAAGAAAATGTTTCATGACATTCATTGGCCAGAGCAGTACTTTTTTTTATTTTTTTGGAACGTACTTCAATAACACACAACAAAAGCAAAAATGGACAAATGAGATTACATCAAACTACAAAGCTTCTTCTGCTCAGCAAAGGAAATAGTCAGCAGAGTGAAAGACAATATTTTAAAAATACAGAAAATATTTGCAACTACATATGAAGTTTGAAAGTAGATCTGATCATACATAGAAGAAGAAACATAGCTGGGTGTGGTGGCCCACACCTGTAATCCCAGGAGCTCAGGAGACTGAGGCAGCAGAATCTCGAGTTCATAGCCAGCCTTAACAACTTAGCAAGGTCTAAGCAACTCAGTGAGACCCTGTCTCTAAATAAAAAACTGTAAAAAAAATAAAAAAGGTAGGGGTCTGGCTCAGTGGTTAAGCACCCTTGGGTTCAATCCCCAATACTAAAAAGAAGAAGAAACATATTAATATATTTGCTGTATAGTAATTATACTTAATGATTTTTTAAAATTTTTTTTAGTTGCTGATGGACCTTTATTCATTTATTTGTATGTGGTGCTGAGGATGGAACCTAGGGCCCCACACATGTGAGGGAAGCGCTCTACCACTGAGCCCCAAGCCCAGCCCTTACTTAATGATTTTGATATAGAAAGTAGTCAGCCTTTTATGTTTCAATAAAGAAAATAGGTAATGTTTGCTTTGGTTTTTTTTTCTTTGCAAAACAGCCCTGCTTCCTCATCCACATTTAACTTTGAGTAGCCAATAAAGTTGTTCTACAAAACATGCCTGTATGGTTTGGGCCCATTTACTGACACCAAATGGTAGAAAGTGAAGAACTTCTAATATTTTTATTACATTCCTAGAAAAATTAACAAATGAATCAAAAAGATAATAAAAACTTGAAAAAGATGGAATTTATTTTGCCCCTTGCATTCAAGCAGTATGAAAATGTTAACGAAGTTAAATGCAGACAGGTGATTCACAAATGAAAATTGGTTTTTGCTCCTACTACCAGATCAAGGAAAGCATTGCATTATAAAGTTGTTTTCTGATCTAATTATTCAACATCCAATCTCTTTGGTAATAGGCAATTATAACTGATATACACCTATTCTGGGGACAAGCAGAATGACCTTAAGGTAGGAATTTAAAGGTGATAGTTAAATCTGATGGTACTTAAGAGCTTAATCTTTTCTGATACCTTCTGATTGCTACATATTCTTCTGCATAGCCATCACTGGCTTTCCCACACTTTTTAAAGAAGTCTTTGGCTCTGTATATGGAGAATTGTGTAAACGTTTTGGAGTATGGATCAGTTACTTCAGTAAGAATCAAATGTTCCAGCAAATGGAAGTTGTCCAGATGGCCCAGGAAGCTAAACGGTAAGGAATGTCACATTTGAAGATGTCTGTAGTTAGTACTAGGCTTCTTTCCTTTCTCTGCCTCCATCAGGTTTTAGAACCCAAGAATTTCAAAGGACTGTTTAGATTATCCATGGTAATGATTCACTTCCTACTCAGCTCCAGGCCCTAGACAGAGCATCTACTCCATAAATACTGCCAGATAAATGAATTAATCTAAAGAGGAAATGTTTGGTAAAGACTACTTTTATAAAAAAAAAATTAAAACTATTTAATGCATTTTATATAAAAAGATAATGGTCTCTATAATTTATAAACTTGTTTATATCAGGGCTTTTGTCCAAATGGGATTAGACATTTTTGATTTGGAGATATTATTTTCCAGGTGTCTGAGGCATGATAGAAACACCAGATTTATTCTGCCAGAACATATCTTCTCTCTAAAATCTCATATCATAGAATTCAGGAGTCTTCTAACTTTAGAGGCAAATGGTAAACTTGGTTAAGTGACAAAATCTACATGGATGACTTTCTGTATTGATCCAGGAATTTAACCCGGGGATTCTCTACCACTGAGCTATATCCCCAAGAGACATATCCCACCCCACCCCCCCTTTTTTTTTTTCAAATTATTTTGAGACAGGGTCTTGCTAAATTGCCCAGGTTGGCCTCAGCCTCCTGAGTCACAGGGATTACAGGTATGTGCCACACTGTTTGACCAACCTCCCTCCCTCCCTCCTTTCTTTCTTTCCTTCCTTCCTTCCTTCTTCTTTTCCTCTCTCCTTCCCTCCATTCCTTCCTCCTTGTGGTACTTGGGATTAAACCTAGATCTTTTCAAAGCTGGTGATCCACATTTTATGAATGTCCTTTCTAAGACAAGAGGAATGAGATATTAAATTATTTTATCTCCTCTACTCTCTTTTAGTTTAAAAAATGGACCATTTTGATGATCATTTATGCCTCATTAGATAACCAAAGTGATCACTTTAGCTTTGGGGGGAAGGCAGAGTGGACCAGGGGATTGAACTCAGGGTCATACCACCACTGAGCCACATTTCCAGCACTATTTTGTAGGGTCTCACTGAGTTGCTTAGTGCCCTTTGCTGAAGCTGGCTTTGAACTGCTATCCTCCTGCCTCAGCCTCCAGAACTGCTGATGTGTGCCATGATGCCCAGCTAACTAGCTTTTTGAAAAGTGGTCTTATCTGATGTCAATGTTTACTAGATGTTAGAAAAAGAAAGTTTAACCTGTACATTGAAATCACCAACCAGCTGAGGGAAGATGGAGAAGGGTTTCCCATCTAGAACAATCAGAGCACTTCAAACAATTACTCCAAACAGATTCAACTCTGTGGTTAAGCCTCTGGCCTCTGAGCTATTATCAGGTGAAGGAGGAAAAGAAGGAAGCATCTTCACAATATTTGCCAGTAATTTCCCTTCCAGTTTCTTAATTTTAGTATTTCCCCCCTTATCATATCCCTGGCATAGGAAAATTAATTTTACTACAAAAATAAAAAATCAGGACTTTTGCACCCAGACTGTCAGTGGTTAAACATTTACAGACAATATCACTGTTTGAATGGCAAAGATGAAGGTGCTTTGACATTTTGTTTTTAATGTAAGCTGGAAAGACGGCTCTTCAAAAGCCAATTTCTCTAAAGTAGAGTAGCCTCAATCTGTTCTTTATTTAGCTCTAAAATTCTAAAATACAGATAACAGATGGAATCTACAGATAGGAAATAATCTTGTTTATATTTCTAATATACAGTCTGGAATCTACGGATAGGAAATTTTGCTTATATTTCTAATATACAGTCAAGCATTATTAATTATTCACCAATCCTTTATTGCTTTCTAAAGTGGCTTGAAAAATCATCTCCTCCACAGTAGTACCCTGAATGCCACTTTAGAGACTCAAAATAGAAAGAGTTGAGGAATAAAATGTTTTTTAAAAAAGGTGTAAAATGTCTCTTTAATCCCACAAATGACAAATCGAGGTCGAGAGCATTTATAACACTCTGCTCCATCACATCTGGGGATGTGGAAATATCTATTTCCCCTTGCACTCTATAGCAGCAGCTCATCTGAAAACTTCCACTTGCTGAAGACCAG